GAATCTTCTCCTTAGGTAACTGTATTGCAATATCACTGTTGGAAAAATTTACTTTAACCTTATCCCCATAGGTTTCTACTAAATATTTTCTGTGGCTAATAGTATAGGAGACACACTGTTTTCCACCATCATTTTATGTTTTTAAATTCTATGTGCTTTGTGATCACAGCTCTAATGTTAGCTTATTATATGATTATTTGCGTGTGTGTTCTGCATAATTAATTTGAATTCTCCATAAAAATCAAACTTTCCTTCAATATTGTTGCATGTGTTCAAATTTCATATGATTTATCCATGCCAAGTTAGTGGTTCCAGGGACCCAGGCCTCCCACGTGCCAACTGAAAATAATTTTACCCCTACAACTAGATCTTCATATACTACAATGACTAAGAAAGGAAAGTTATAGAATCTGATACAGTGGGATTGAAAGTGAGGGAGACATTTATTCATTTTTCATTGTCAGTCCCATCACAACCAGGGCTCCTTTCAAGCATATAATGCCCACAGCATCTGCTATAGTTTTTATGACTCCACTTACGTGGCCACTCTTGATTGTTCCTGAGCCAACTGAAGTCCCTCTCCAGGAGAATCCGCTTGGTCTCTCCTTGTATGTCTATTTGGTGGTGGTGAGTATGTGCTGTGAAGTAGGTACTGACTCATAGCGACTCTGTACAGGGTTTCCGGGGCTGTAAGTCTTTACAGGAGCAGAAAGCCTCATCTTTTTTTCCCACAGAACAGCTGGTAGTTTTGAACTGCTGACCTCGAGGTTAGCAACCCAACTCGTAATCATGAAGCTACCAGAGCTCCTTGGATGTCTATTAGAAGAATGTAGTTTCTGTATAGTTGCTGTGGAAAAAAGCACTGGACGGTCAGTTTGAACCATAAGGTCAGCAGTTTATACTCACCAGCTGCTCCTTGGAAACCCTATACAGGGTTGCTATGAGTCGAAACTGACTTGATGGCACTTAACAATAACCCTTTCTTGGTTTCAGTATGTGTGCTAGTCATGAATAAATGCATTGGCATATTCAGTTTCAAGGCACTTTGCAGTGCAGTGGTTAACCAGAAGGTCAGTGATTTGAACCTACCAGCCTCTCTTTAGGAGAAAGATGTGGCAGTCTGTTTCCCTAAAGATTACAGCTTTGGAAACACTATGGGGCAGTTCTGTTCTGTCCTATCGGGTCACTATGAGTTGGAATCAATTTAATGGCTACATATTTTTGTAATAAAATGGAACAGAGTTAAGGAATTAGAGAGAGTCTTTATGGTGTTTTTGTCCCTGGCACTAATTATTGTTAAAATCCCCTTATATTTTTCACTTTAGTTACTTACTCCAGGTTTTTTTAGACTAAATTTTCCTTTTAGTTCAGGCTAGTTCAAATTGGATTTCTATGTGAAACGCCTGGGCAGCTGTGACCTGCTTTACATGTGCTACAAGAAATCCTGGGGAAAATGCACAGATTAGAAGGACTGGTTTGACAAGGGAAGTCTCTTTGCACGTCACTTGCAATCTGCGCGTCCTTTCTATTTCCATAGTCACATTCTAATTCATGGCATCCTGCCTGGACTCTTGCTATAGACACTAACGGGAGTACATGCCTTCAAGCCCTACCCCTCCAGTTCCTCCACATACAGCTGCCAAATCCATCTTCCAAAAGCAGGACTCTGGCTGTGTGTTCCTGCCCCACTTAAAAGTCTTCAGTTAATACTTTGGCTGCCAAATGTTTCAACCTGATGATTTTCATGACCATAACCTAGTTTCCTAGCTTAATGCTAGTATTTTTAAACCAAAGAGGACTGTTTGCTATTCTCTATTCATCTGTGCATTTTTCTGGCTTCTGCCTTCTGTCTTCAGTCATACTACTTGTTTTCATCTTTCAGTAGTCTGCACAGTCCCCAAGGCCTGTCTCAAATGATGCCTGCTCCCTGGAATCTGCCGTTTTCCCATTGAGTTGAATATGATATCATCTCTGAATCCCTAAAGCACTTGGTACTTCTCTATTTAATCTTTTTTGTATTCTAGTGATTTGCTTCTCTTTGTGACTGCTCACCAAAAAAGGTTGATAGTTCAAACCCACTAGCCACTCCTTGAGAGAAATATGAGATGTGACAATGTGCTTCCATGAAGAGTACAGCTTTGAGTGAGTTTATTTAGTGTAACCATCATGCCTAGCAGAGTGTCTTTCACACAGTAATATACAATAAATATTTCCTAAGTGGAACAGAATTAATCCTTTAACTTTACTGTAAGGATTCATAAGTCACACTTGGCATACAAGAGTAAATCCAATTTGTGTGTGTGTGTGTGGTAAAAATATACATAATGCAGCATTTACCAACTCAACAAGTAAAACATTTTTAACTTGGATACTATTTAAAACAAACAAAAAACAGCCTTTTCCTTATTTTCTACCACATCATTAGATTGTGGGGAAGAAAGGAGCAGTGGTGAGGGCGGCTAGTGGAACCAGGCACTGAGGAGTTGTGTGGCATTATGAGAACTGTCCGTAAGCAGGGGAAGGAGCGTAGTAACAGCTGCTAGCTTGGGAAGGTCATCTGTCGCTGAGAGGGATGTGGATTAGTATGGAAGCTCTGAGGTGCCTGCAGTGTTTAGACAAAACTCTGACTGCTGAACAACAGAATAACATGTTTTCTTCTTGCAAGGATAACTGACAGCTAACCTACTCCATCCTGGTTTGGGGTGTCTCTCACATTCTTATAGGTTATGTGTTATGTGTGGGATAGGGTGAGAATAGTATATCCAAATCTTTGGAAAAGGATAAATGAGGTTTTAAAAAAACAACCCTGTAACCCTAATATGTCCCTCTTCTAAGACAATGTCTCCCTCATCCTCAACCTAACTGTGATCCATAATGTTTAACTGGACCATACACAGACCCTTTGAGAATTTATCCAGTCTCTTACTAAAAAAAAAAAACAAAAAAAAAACCAACAACCACTTAGTGGCAAACATGTAACTTTTATTGTTGCTAAATGCTGTGGAGTCATTTCTGACTCATAGGGACTCTGCATAGGATTTCCAAGGAGCCGCTGGTGGATTTGAACTGCCGACCTTGTGGCTAGCAGTCCAGTGCTTATCCTACAGCACCATGCCAGAACTCCAGTGCATAACTATGTGCATATAATTTTAGGGTTTCCTCATCTTCTGAAGCAGTCACAGACCAACCCGAGGTCAGAATCACCTTTTTAGCCTGCTCTGTTAGTACTCAGTTAGCCGGGAACCAGGACTTTGCCTTTAGGCTGGCTGAGCAAGGGGAGACAGATGGAGCATCTCTCACTGTCTGTGGGCAACAAAAGTGAACTCTGTCCTAGCAATACTCTGTCCTCCCTCTGTAACAGTATTTACTAGGTGGCTCTTTTATTTAAGTTTGTTCAATCTCAAATCTCTGGTTCCTGGCACTGTACCTGTTCTGCAGCAGGTCTTCGATAAATAATGTGAAATGACTGAATAAACCACCAGGTCCATAGAACCCAGAATGGTCACAGGAGCCCCCAACTGCCGTTCTAGTTACTCAGTTTAATTGTCCCTTCTGGGATTCTTTCATTGGAAAGAATAGTGGTTACTGGTAGTTGTGGTTACCGGTTGAGATACTGACCTCACGGTCAGCAGTTCGAAGCTACCAGCTGTTCTGCAGGAGAAAGATGAGGCTTTCTTCTCCCGTAAAGATTTAAAGCCTAGGAAACCCTGCGCAGGAGTCGGAACCTACTCCATGGCATGTAACCACCAACCTCCATAATACATTTGGGAGCTGGCTAGCTATATGGCCTATTCAGTTCCCCACTCAAAAATGCTCCAAAGAGTACAGGTAGTTTTTAAAGTTAAAATGAATTAATTGATTGTTTTGTTGTTGTTGTTGTTAAGTACCGTGGAGTCGGTTCTGACTCATAGTGACCCTGTACAGGGTTTCTGAGGCTGCAAATCTTTATGGGAGCAGAAAGCTTCATCTTTCTCCCGCGGAACTGCTGGTAGTTTCAAACTGCCGACCTTGAGGTTAGCAGCCGATTAGTAACCACTACGCTACCAGAGCTCCTTTTGGTTGCGTAGTGGTTGTATATATTGTAGGGTTGTGTATATTGTGGAGATTTTCACAAACTTCTCAGAAGTAATTCAAGTCATAGTGTGAGGGGGAATTTAGCAAGGGGTGAAAGGGTAGTGGAGCAGCCTGGAAGGCCCTCTTTCCTTCAGAAGACATTTTATGAATAGCTTCTCAAACCAAAAATTGAAATAAAAATGTGAGCAAATGGATATGCCCTTGAGCATAAACATTCTCTAGCTGACTTGTGGGTGGAGTAGGTGGGAGAACAAGACAATCTCACTCCCTGTCTCATAACAGGCGTTCTTCTCTCTTTGAGGTCATATGTAGCTTTGATCCCCCAAGAGACAACTCCCAGTGGATATAGGTGAAGTCTTCATTAGTTAGCTCACTGGCCTGTTGAGGTTTAATTAACCTCCATGTGAAGTATTTAGAGATCTTCAAAATAAAGAATGAGAAGGGATGTGTATTTAAAATAATACTTGATTAATTAAAATATGTTTTTCCTTTTGGTAGTCCAAAACTGGTCATGTGTACTTTACTTGTTTTGTCTTTGTCCTTGGGTAAAGCCAGATGTTTGAGTTATTTTGTTTTTGTTTTGTTTTATTTTGTTTTTTCAAGTTTGAGCAGATTATCTCTAATCATATACTTGCAAGTAAGTCCTGTCTAATAGAGAATCTATTAATATTCCTTCTAATTTTTTCTTTGCTCAGTTTTATAGTGTTGTTGCCATGAGTTGTTTTTTTTTTTTTTTTTTTTTAACCCCCAAAATAAGGTTCAAGTATTTTGGGCCTTTTTAGGGAAGGAAACAAAAATAGATCTTCTTAATTATTGTCATTTTCAACAATATCCTTTGAATCATTTCAGTAATATCCTCTTGCATTTTCTGAAAAGAGTTTCAATTACTTTTTTTTCTTCTTTAAAAAACATTATCAATTCCCAAGCTGGCCAGCTCAGCGTCTTTGGAAGGGAAAGGGCAGCTGAAGTTCACTTCGGGACGATGGAGCCCACATCACAACTGTACCCAGGTTGCCACAGCAAATGACACTACTCTCCGAGGGTGGGACACTCGGAGCATGAGGTCAGTGATGCTGAAACTCTCTTTTGAATAGGGAACATGAACCCATATCCTTCCACGTCTTTCTCTTTAGTTTCCTGTCTCATTGAACAAAGCCATGACTACAATGGAGATCATTATATATCCTATGTGTATGGGAGCACATGGTTTATTTGCCATCGTCTCACTTTTATAGGGCATTGAAAATCTTATTTTGTTTCTTCATTCCAAAATTAAGCTGGCATGGCCATGCTGTGGAACCTCTATACTTCAGTTGTTTGATACTTCATACTGATATCCCATACGTGGTGGCAGTTTACAATGAAAATTAAGATCGGTGTTTATACTGTTCTTTGTGAGTGAGATGGTGACCATGGTCTCCATGACTAACAACTAAAGGTTGACTATCGCTGTCCCCTTTCTCAAGTCATTGTCTTCTATAATTTCGATTCCTACAAGGTACATGCCTATTGGGTAATCATATTTTGTCATTTGAGTAATTATATGCAGCAACCAAGAGTTCTAATGGAACAAATAAGAGCGATTTTTTTCTGTTCCAGTTGTGAGTTTGATAAGCATAGGAGTGATGGTGTGCATATCTGTTGTCATGGCAACAGAAGCCTGTGCAAGCTTTTTTAAGATACAGTTTATCCCCTCAGCACACCATAATTTATCACTAAGCTGAAAAGACGGATGTCTTGTAATAACTTGTGTTGCCTTTAAGGTTGGGGGTACAACTTTAAATTTAGTTTCATAGCTCCTCTGAAAATTCAGGGACTAATAAATAATCAATTGCCTTTTCCTCAGCTTGTGCATATCTGTACAAAGGGTTTATTCAGTTTTCTAATCAGAAACTGAAAGCCATAGACTCATATTATGATGAGTAGCCTGACTGAAGTCTATTTCTGTGTCCTATGGTTATCTTTTCCACAGCTTTCATTGTTCTTTAAAGGAATATGAAGAATTTTAGTATCTAAAGACAAGAAATTCGAAGGCTGACATTACAGACCAAAGAAAGAAAGAAAAAAACGGATAGCAAAGATAGCTTTGTCTAGCCATATCTGGAGTTAACTCATTTTGCCCTGTGCTGCCTCTCTGTAATGATGAGTTGACTTCCTAGGGGAAGGTGAACCTCAGGAAAGAGAGTCACAGCTCCTTACCATTGACTATTATTTCTCCTTTGGCTAACGGTGTTGGTTTTTGTGTACCCTGGATGCTTTTTGTGTTTCTTCTAGAATTTATCATGCTTTTATTAAAATAATTCCCACTAGAGCATGCAGGAAACCTTTAGTAAATGCTTTGTGCATGCACTGCTTTCCAGCTAAATCCCTAGGACTTTGCCAACTTTTTATTTTTATATGTTTGCCTATTTTACTTTCAAGGTCTTAAGGATTAGAGGTATCTCATTTTAGGGAAAAAATTAGGGTCCTGGAAAGGTATGAGATATAAAAACCAGTTCAAGATTTAAAAATGGTTTAAGGATCCAGTGTGGTGTTGGGGGAAAGATAAAAGAAATTGAGTGGATCTACCTTGGAGAACAGAGAAATTGTAAGGTCACTTAATAATGGTCTTCAAATATGTGAAAAATAATTACATATTACAAAAGAGCCCAGTTGTACACCATCCACACTGACGCTATGAAGAGTGAAGAAATTTAGTTATTTTGAGAGAGATTTAAGTTTCTCCTCAGGAAAGGAAATGGAAACGGTAGTGTAGCACACAGGCAGCCTAGAAAGACCATGTAGCTCTTAGACCCGACCCAACGAAGAATAGACCTCTACTGACCCTCAAAGTCATGCAGGACTCTTTTTATAAAAACCACCACGCTCCAGTCTCACCAGCTGACCTGCCTCTCTGTTTAGAGTTTATGAAGTCAGAAGGAATCTTTGTAATAGGTGAAATATTCTGATCTCAGACTATATGAGGAACAGTCTAAATTATGTTTGTGAATGCATGTGTGTGCATGTACACATTCTGTATAAATAGTTATGTGGTGGAAATTTGACAGCTTCTCATTTGCCGGTGTCTCCCTGTCTTTAGAAGGGTTATTTATTTTCTAATGTTGGCATTCCAAGACGGTATGGATAGATAAAAGACCAATCCACCAATAACAAACAGTGCCTCTCTTATTTTTTTTTTTTTTCCATAGCTTTTCTTCTTCTTCTCTTTATATTTTTTCTGTATAATTTTTTCCTTCCTGTTCTATGTATAATATCCCAGTACCAAAACCAGCTATTTTCTTTTCTCACTGCATCCTTCTAAAAATTTGTCAGGTATCCTACCAAAAAGCCTGTCTTAGCTTTTCCATGACAATCACATTCCCTCTGGCACACTCTCATTCTCAAGATACCCAATAGCATTTTTGACAGCTGGAAACTGATATCAATTCCACAGCTTGCCCAGAGGATCACAAATACATTGCTGAAAAAAAAAAAATATATTGCATGCATTACAGCATTATAGTCACTCAGATGAAGGCCGCTAGGCTCAGCTGGTTTCCACAAGCACTCTTGGTGCTTGGTGCCCAGCCTTCTCATGCAAAGAAAAGGCAATCCCTGTAAACCAGGAGTACCACCAGCTGGGATTTCCCTGAGCTCACATGCCAGCAGTGGGATCACTGTATCACCAGAGTTGGGAGATTAAAGCGGTTTCTAGGAAACTAATGCATATCTGTAGAGTTCAGTGGCTTTTCCTAATCCATTTAGTATTTTTATATGCTATTCCTTTTTTTCCTTCTCTCAGCCAAATATACTGCATAGAAAATGCCCACGGACAGCTGGTACGAGACCTCGACTTTAATCCCAATAAACAGTACTACTTAGCTAGCTGTGGAGACGACTGTAGGGTGAAGTTCTGGGACACTAGAAATGTCACTGAACCTGTGAAGACGCTTGAGGAGCATTCCCACTGGTACAGTGACTTATCTGCATGCTGGGTTAGGGAAAACGGGATTATGTCATTTCTTTTGCTAATTACCTTACCATTTAAAAAGCATACACTAGCTTAGTTTATGCTGCTGTGAATCAATCAATCAACCCAGTTTTATTTTTCTTAAAGAAACACTGATTCTAAATCTGAATGTTTGTGATTTATAAACATAGGAATAGGAGAAAAATGTTAGATTCTGGTTTCTGTTGAAATAGTGCTGGTTCAAGTATGCAAAAATAAATTTGCACAGATGTTCACTGCAGCATTATGTGTAATGTAGGGAAACTGGAAACTGCCCAAATGTCCATCAATAGGGGATTGGTTCAATAAATTAAGTGACATCCATTCAGTGGTGATTATGCAGCTGTCAAAAAGAATGAAGAATATCTGTATATATATGGACATGGAAAGATGCCCAAGATCATTCATTCTTTCTAAAATATTATTTGAATGTTTACCGTATGCTGACTTTTGCTAAGCATGTGAAAAAAAAAAATCAGTTTGTGGAAGACTATGTATAGTAGGAATCCATTTTTTATTTAAAGTGTGTGTGTGTGTATATATATATATATATAAGTACATGTGCACACATATTCATAAGTATGCAGAACAATTCTGGAGGAGGAAGAGCCAAACTATTATGAGTAATCCTCTCTCAGGCAAAGAGGGCCATGTTAAAGGAGACTTTACTCTTATGGTCTACATATTTGGATTGTTTGGATTACTTATCAGAGACTATCTTGCTTCTGTAATCAGAAAGAAATATTAATTTTTTAGAAACACAATTTTAGTGCACAGTTTCAATAAATTTAATAAACTGCTAGAATTGATTACAATCTATATGGAAATAATTTAACTGTCCTCCTTAAGCCGCTCCAGGGGGGTGTAGCTCCGTGTGCTAGAATTTCACACGCCATGCTGTGGCTCCTCTGTGGGCTCTGGAGCCTGCAACGTCTTTGGCACCAATTTTAAGACTGAAGCTGACCAAACACCCTGGGCATATGTGTATGTGTGTGAAAGAAAGCTGGATCCTAATGATCAAAGCTCAAAGACCAATTCCAGGAAGACCTGTCATTGCTCTTTTGTCTTAGGACCTCTGACAGCTGTTCATTGGGAAGTTGTCATGAGATATTGTTTAATATAACAGGTTACTTATAATCCATATTTTACTTTGGAGGGATTTTTGTTTTTATAATTTTAAAAAGCTTGTCTGGAATATTGAGCTATAAGCTTTCTTTTTCCTCTGAGGGTTTATAGTAACATTTAGTCCTTTTTAGTCTCTGTTGACTGGGATTTCAGATAATATTTTATAGAGACCTACAATAAACGTAACTCTGTCCTGAAAATTACCTAAAGTCAGACCATGCCATTTGGGATTGAGTTTACAAAGTAATACCTTATCTTGAACCCAGACAAATAAGAATCCCCAAATTAAGTTGATGCAGTTTAAAACTGATTTACATCAGTGGTCATTCAAACAGCTGTTTAATTTTCCTTTGCAGGGTGTGGAATGTCCGCTACAACCATTCCCATGATCAGCTGATCCTAACTGGTAGCAGTGACAGCAGAGTCATCCTCTCAAACATGGTGTCGATTTCCTCTGAGCCCTTTGGCCATTTGGTAGATGACGATGACCTCAGTGATCAAGAGGAGCACCATCCAGAAGAGAAGTACGAACAAATTATTTCTAAAACTTTGGGAGTGATCCTTAAAGGTGTGAGAATTTTTCTTTTCTCATGAATAATGCCTTGATCCAGGTGATTTCTATATCTAATATCTTACTCAGGGTTGACATTCTACTTTCTCACTGTGGTTATGGGAGATTCACGGTTCTGGAGATCATTAGCACAATAGTCTGATTAGTGGCTCCATAGATTTGGAGGCATTGAAATTGAGTTACGTAATGCCTCTCCTGTGTTTTGTTATTATTAAATGCATTATATAAATTTTGAAGATTGTTAACTAGTCTTCAAACTGAACTTTAACATTAATAATAATGAGAATGATTATTCATTGATTCTTACAGCAATCCTTGTAAGACAGATATTAATAGTATGCTCATTATAACAGATGTGGTGGTGGTGGTGGTTATGTGCCATGGAGTCGGTTCCAACTCATAGTGACCATGTACAGGGTTTCCGAGAAAGAAAGCCCCATCTTTCACCCATGGAGCAGCTGGTAGTTTCGAACTGCTGACCCTGAGGTTAGCAACCCGATTCATAACCACTACGCTACTAGAGTTCCTTTATAGTAGATGTAGGCCTGTGTAACTCAGTGACATTTAGTGATTTGCTCGAAGACACATAGCTAGTAAATGTCAGGGTGGGACTTGAACCTAGTCTACTCACTCCCAAATCCAAAACCATTCCTCTTTACTACTTGTTCTCTAGGCACTATGTAATATTACACACCATAGTATTGTGTATAATATAAGAAAATTGGAATGCAATTTATGTTTTAATAGTAATGCCATCTTGGCTGTATAGTTTAAAAAAACACTTTTCTATGTCTGATCCTAATAGCATCCACGTTTAGGAGATAGCTTGATACCATATCCTCTTCGTGTTGGAACTAAGGTACCCTGAGACAGCTGGGGATTCAGGGACTGATGCACATCACTTTACTAGTTAGTGATAGAGCAGGAGTGTAGTCTGATCTCAAGACTCTTGTAAAGACCTCTGGCTGGATCCTGAATGTGGACTGATTGCCAGTAATCTTACAGTTTGCTTGCTTCTCTGTCCGGTGAGGAAGATTCAGGTAAAGCTCTGTTTTTTTGGGGTTTTTTTCTAATAAAGAACAGTTGATGTCAAGTTCATTTTGACACATGGAAACCCAATGGGAGTCAGAGTGGAACGGTGTCCCATAGGGTTTCCAATAGCTGATGTTTTACAAGTGGATCACCAGGTTTTTTTTCTGAGGCACCTCTGGATGGACGCAAACTGTCCAACCTTCCGTTAGTAGCCCAGTGTGTTATTCATTTACATGACCCTTGCCAACAATAAAAGAAACCACAAAAAACAAATCAGTTGCCGTCAAGTCAATTAAAACTCATAGTGACTCCATAGACAGAGTAGAACTGCCCTATAGGGTTTCCAGGGCTGCAATCTTGACAGGAGCAGACTGCTATGTCTTTCTCCTGTGCAGTGGCTTGTGGGCTCAAGCTGCTGACCTTTCAGTTAGTAGCTACATGCTTTCAACACAGCACCACCACCCAGGCTCCTGTCAGCAATGTTGTTTTTGTTGTTAAGCGTGGTCGAGTCAGTTCCAATTCATAATGACCCTTTATGGGATTTTCAAGGAGCAGATGAAAGGTGGATTTGAACTGCCAATCTTGCAGTTCAAACCAAACTTATGCCATACCAGGACTCCTGTCAACAATATTGTTAAGTGCTGTCGAGTCTGTTCCAACTCATAGCAACCCTGTATAGGGTTTCTGAGAAACAGCTGGTGAGTTTGAACTGCTGACCTTGCGGTTCAAACCGACCTTGAGGTTGAGTGCTTATCCTATGGTGCCACACCAGGACTCCTTGTCATTGGTAGTACACGTTAATAGGAAATCGTTTTCATCTTCCTTGAGTAGATTTGCTTTCACCTGTGGCAACTATTTCCTATATTATAAGTGAGAATGCTTCAGGTCTTAACCAGAGAGAATTTAGACTCTAATGATTCCTGAAGAAGGAGTTTCTGGAATAAAATCAAGTTTAATTGAATAGTTTGAATCATTCAAACTTAATATGGTTTTATCATTCTTTTTTAAGATTCTTGAATTCTTCCTCTACCTATCTACGTTTATTCTAAAAATTACTTTCTGAGAAAGTATCTATTTGGAACTTTATCATGGTAATTTACCAATTTGTTTGTCCCTTGACATTGTTGTTTTTCTGTTCCACTACTTAGAAACACAGGTCAACCAAAGAATAATACTTAGACATAATTACAATGGTTTCTCAGCTAAAGAAGCTACTGTTATGCAATCTGGATTTTGCCTTCTTTGCAATCATCTCATCTCACAGACAAAGCAGGTGTTCTTAGGTTACTCTAGGTGTCAGGTCTCTAGTAGAGGAGAAACTTGATCGCTCCCTTAATTGGAACCTGTGTGATTAATTGGTGCCTTGTCCTCCATGCAGGTGGTTTCTGAGCAGCTGTGTTAGGGAGGACTGTAACGCTTCCTTGTCGTCAGACGTGCCTAGGCATGATGACCCTAGTCCCTTTTTGCTCTAATAATTCCTTAGCAATTTTGATATACGTTTCCTGATTTCATTGTTTGTCCATATATCTTATTAAATTCAGGGGGGAAATACCCACATGAGGATTGTAAAGTTATATTTGGAACAAAATATCATTTGACCAGTTGAAGGGTCCATTTTTTGGGAAAACCAGAACTTGATGATGCATTATTTAAGCTTTTCAGAACACAGATAAATATTATTAAGAGACAAAAAGGGAGAATGCCTTTAAGAGTTTACTGTCTTCTTGGGGAGATAAAGCATTTTTCTTTAAAGAAATTCAAGAACACTTAAAGTATATTGAGTAGAAATATATTGTATAATGGAAAGTAAGGTCAAGAGAAGCCTGTGTCAGGTTGAAAAAAGTGACTTCTATGCTCAAGGGACAGATGTGGATGTCAGACTTCAGAATGTTCCTTTTGGGACATAGTAGTCTGCAAACACTAATGTGCTGAGAAATTCTACAATCCTTACATGATATGCATAAGAAAGAATAGAGAAGTGAGCTGGCTCCTATGATAGGATTCCTAGAGAAGGTAAATATAACCCAAATGTACCCTAAGAGAAATAAAGTTGGAAAACTAGTATCCTAAATGAAAACAACTGCAAAAGTCCAGTCCTGGACCTAACTAAGCAGACTGTCCTCCCTCCTTTCCTTGAACTCTCTCTGGGCGCTGTTGGGCTCCTATATCGTTGTTGTTGTTGTTGTTGTTGCTATTGTTAAGTACCACTGAGTGGGTTCTGATTCAGAGTGGCCCCGTGGAGGGTTACCAAGGAAGTCCTCAATCCCAACCCCAGCTCTGCATTAATACGCATGACCTGCACCCTGATCCTCAGAAGGCTGTGCACATTCCTGGGCTTCAGACTCCTTGTCTGCATAATAAGGGGTTAAACTAGCAGATCTCTAAGGTCCTTGTTTCTGCTCAAAAGTGACAGGGTTTTTAAACTCTTTTTTTTAACTCAAGCACAGTGAACATTTTCCCTCTAGTCACTTTCACTGGAACCAGGGAGGAGGTTCTAATGAGAAGAGAAGAAGCCAAGGTATTATTAGACAATAACATTGATTTCCATAAACCACTCAAGAAAGCCCCACTTCTTCTTAGCGGTAGGTAATAAAAATCTCTATGCGTCTACGTGCACGATTTTTATTGGGCCTCAATGTAGGCTATTATAATTATTCCCATCTTGTACATGAGAAAACTGAGGCTCAGGAACTTGAATCTGTTTCTTCTGACAGGGTGTCTCACATTCTTTCTGCTACCTCTCACTAGTCTGCCTTGTAGGAACTATGATGGCACTTACAGAAAAGTTGAGCTCTGAGATTGAAATTGCCTTGTTTGCATGTACCTAATCACTGCCTTTTTCATGTGTGTGTTTCCATTATTTCTAGGAATAAAGAGGCCCTGCAGGACAGCGTCATTGCAACCTATGAAGAGCATGAAGATAGTGTGTATGCCGTGGACTGGTCTTCTGCAGACCCGTGGCTGTTTGCCTCTTTAAGTTATGATGGAAGACTTGTTGTTAACAGGGTTCCCAGAGCACTGAAATATCACATATTGCTCTAATTTGTTTGGATGGCATTCCTGATTTATCCTCTTGGCAGATTCTCGAAATTTTGTAGCTATTTGGAGGTAATTAGTTTTCCAAATAGATCCCTCTCTGGGAGAACCAATATTGCCTTCTTTTAATGCAAGCATTTATGAATAATAATAAAGCTTCTGCCAATTGTACAAACTGACACCTAAAACAAAGTTTTATTGTCATTGAATTTGGAAAATGCTATCTTCCAAACTGTGCTGGGAATATGGTCCCCACCCCCATTCCCTCATTGTTACGTAAATCAGAGCCTGTCCAATCGGTGTAAAGTTTTTGTTTTCTGTTTTTAGGATCTGGGGAGTTTAATTTTTTTTTAATTACTGTTTCTTTAACATTAGCTCATCTTTGTCTTGAGATTAAAAATGAAATAAAATAAATAAGTTCATGTTGTTTGGACTCCTGGCTCCTTCTCTCAGGAAACTCTCTGCTCCATATTTGGCCATGTCATCTGAGTCTGTGTTCATTGTCTCTGGCCCAGCCTAGAAAAATTGAAGGGTAGAGAGAATGTGCCCTTCTGGACAGTTGCCCTCTTTTTGAGCTCAGAACTTCCTGCTGAACAGGCGCCACCCTGAGTCCTCTGCGGAGCCTGATTGTACCTTCAGTGCTCTCAGACTGGGGCATCTGAGCAGAGAGTCTGGGGACTCCTGGGAATGTATTCATGATGAACATTGCATTTTCCATTGTTATTAAGTTTCCTGCTTAGCCTTTGGGCCTTCTCTAATCTCTTTGTGTATCATTCTTTATTGTGTCTCATGTGCATTATGCTGATGGCATTGTAAATGTGGTTCTTTATCATTCCAGGAAGTAATGATTATGCTCCTGGTTTTTCAGTCTGTTGGGTATTATCCAGCACACTCTTAAACTCATTGAAATTCAATATAATCTGCTATCATCCCATCATTCCTAGATAATCACAGAACACTGATCATGCAGCCTTTTCATTCACTGCTCCTTCTGTGGGTCCATGTGGGATGTGTCTGTGCTTTGTGTGTTAGTGCTCGGAGCAGCTAGCGCAGGAGAGCGGAGAGAGGCCTGGGCTCTGATTCTGTGCCTTGGCTGGCTAGAAGCCTTTGCAGATGCTGCCTCTCCACTGTGATCTCAGTTTTCTCATCTAGAATGAGGGACATGGACTGGAGGCGCTCTAAGATTTGATTATTCTATGGCAGGCCTAGGAGCTCTCTCTGGTAGCATAGGGGTTACGAATCAGGCTGCTAACCTTAAGGTCTGCAGTTCGAAGCTACCAGCTGTTCTGCGGGAGAAAGATGAGGTTTCTGCTCCCATAAAGATTTCCAGCCTCGGAAACCCTGTGCAGGGTCACTATGAGTGGGAACCAACTCCACAGTACTTAGCAACAACAGCAACATGGCAGACCTAAGGAACAATGTTGGAGCAATGGTTAACCTCCAGCAGGAGAATGATGAGGCAGTCAGCTTCCATAAAGATTTATAATCTTGGAAACCCTATGGGGCAGTTCTACACTGTCCCTTGACTCTAGGACACACAATGACTCTTTAGGTGCCTCAATATGGAATTCTGACCTATTATGTGAAAATCAACATAAAAATGAAGCATCCTTGATGAAGCCCTCCACGAGTTATCCCAGGTATGTTTTTATGTTACTTTCTAAGTACATACATGCTTGTGCATCGAATGATACATCTTGGATTTTGTTCCTTCTTGTGTAGAGTTAGAGTTCACTGAGGTGAGGAGGGAAGGGAGAAAGATCTCATACCCTTCAGCACTTCTGCTTCCAGGTAAGACCTGCATTGTGGATAATGCAAAAACAGCTTTAATGAAAGTCCTCCCTTCAGTTTGCTGACACTTGAAGGAAAATTGATGCTTTTGTTAAATAAGTATCCATTGAATGCCCCACTGTATTCTAGGTACTGTTCTTGTTGCTGTAGTATAGAAGTGATGCAGAAATCCCAGTTTACCTAGAGCCTACACTCTTGTTATGGAAACCATCCATCAATCATGAATTAAATATGTACAAGGGAACTTCAAAAACTTCATGGGAAATTCCATGATCTGTAGGTTCCATTTGTCCATGACATTTTGAAATCTCTCATAGTTTGTCAGACAACATGGATGTATGAATACTATGGAGGAATATAAGGTAGAGAAGGAAGGGCAGAGAATATGATGGAGAGTGGGACCTGAGGGTGATATGAGTAGGTACAGAAAGTCCCTGCATTATCAGTGAGTCCTGCTAATAAATCTGTCTTTAAGTCAAATGTGTAAGTAAATCAGACAGGTACGATTTATATCTTAGGTCAGTCAGTTTGTCTTGTTTCATTCTGTACAATAGAATTCAACACTGCCCGATACTCCGCCATCTTTACAGTTATTTTTATGTTTGAACTCTCTGTTGTTGCTGTAACTATGTCAGTCTATCTCATTGGGGGTCTTCCTCTTTCTTGCTGATGCTCCACTTTACCAAGCATAATATTCTTCTCCAGGAACTGGTCCCACCTGACAACATGACTAAAGTATAAAAGACAGAGTCTCCCCATCCTTGCTATTAAGGATCATTCTGGATGTACTTCTTCAAAGACAGAGTTTTTTGTTCTTCTGGCAGTTCATGGTACTTTCAATATTCTTCACCCACACTTTAATTCAAATCATCGATTCTTCTACTGTCTTCCTTATTCATTGACCAACTTTCACATGTATATGAGGCAGTTCAGAATACCATGGCTTGGGTCAGGTAAACCTTGGTTCTCAAAGGGATATCTTTGCTCATTAACACATTTTATTGTAGTAGATTTGGCTGATGCACTATGTTGTTTCATTTCTTGACTGCTGCTTCCATGAGCCTTGATTGTAGATAGGGGCAAACTGAAGTCTTTGACACGTCAATCTTTTCTCCATATATCATGCTGTTATTTATTGGTCCTGTTTTAAAATTTTTTGTTTTCTTTACATTAAGGTGCAATCCATACTGAACACTAGTCTTGTTTTTATTGTGAATTAAGTGATAGTTTACCTGGGAGAACACTAGCTCTTCATACATCCTATCATATTTTGTTTCCTTGCAACGATTACAGTCCCCTCCATACATCATCAAATAACCAAAGGGTACACCCTGCCCCCCGGCCGTCAGCACACAGACCCTCTCCCCCCCTGAATCCAGAGTCCCTAGCCACTCCAACACTCCACGTCACTGTCTCTGCCTCCATCTCTGGTGTCACTGCTTCTCTGGATAGGGTTCCACACTCCACTCTTCTCCCTTGATGGTCCCAGGGACCTCTGCTCCTGGACTGGAAGTCAACCACTCCCCTCCTTTTGTTACAAAATGTCTATCTTTACATTTCCAACCCTCACAGTCAGTCCTGATAGCAATCATTTACTATTGAACCACAAGAGTCTTGTTCCCATCTCCTTTCATCAGCCCCGCCCAGACAGGTTGGAAACCACACAGTGGAGATTCTACCTTCCCTTGCACCCTCTGAAACTAGGTTCCTTCTTGAAAGCTTGTAAGCCAGTCACTTCTTGCCTTTAAGCCCCTCTCCTCCCCCCCACCCCCCACTTTGGATAGCCAATGTCTAAGTTGCTAGTCCCTGTCAACCCTGTGTACTGAGGGGATGGAAATGATCCTTGCTGTAAAGATGTGTTCCCACTTTTGAGCTATTACATCCATAAGTATAGATCAAGTTCATCAAATTGTACTCTTTTTTCCCTCTTTTTTCTTCTCGTCGAGCTCTGATCATCTAGCCATCGAAGCCAAGTCAAGTGGGTACTATCTGCAAATATGGGTGTTCTTGTGCATCTCGCCTCACTTTGTATCAGCTGGATGCTTCACTCTCAACTCTAGTGCTTTGTGGCTATGTCTCTGTCTCTGGGCCCAGGAATCCCCAGGTCTTGCCATGCTACTAGCCAACCAGGTCTCAACCCAGGCTCACAGGAGTCTATTGAACGTGGTAAGACTTAGTTCACAGCTTCATTGCTCTTTTTCCCCTACTTCCCATTATGGGTGACCAACGTGGTCACCAGCATGACCACATGCCTGCTAGTGTATTCCCTTGAATCTCAGTCTTGGAAGGGGTTTGCCCTGAGTGGACCCAACCACTTGCTTTGATGGCACCTGGGCAAACAACTTACTTGTTCTTATAGTAGTCAGTCAGACTGCCATTGTTGTTTTTGAATTTTCCTGCTGGTCTTTCTTTCAAGAAATATCTTCTGTTCTAGTTGCTCCAGGCTGATCTGCTTATCCTTTGAAGTGGAGATTTCCCACCTCAGAAGACTCTAGACGGGGATCAGGATTCCACCAAGGTCTTATGCAATGCAAAGGCTCCACAGGAATCCTCCTTCACTGGGCAAGTTGTAGCCCCATTTTAGGTATTCCAATCAGTTATAGGCTGAAGACTTACAAGCTTTCTATGGTGATGTTTCTGGCTATTCCTTTCTTTCCTCCTCAAGTGTCTATTTTACAATAGTAGGCAAGGGAAACCAAGATACAAAAGACAGCCAAGCATCTTAACATTTCTCCTCTTTTATCCATTCAAGCCATGCCTCAATCCCTGTATCCCATAGCCCTGTTGTTCCAAGGTTGTGCATACATCATTAATTACTTCTGTCCCACTTAGCCCATGCAAACCTGCCTAACTGTTCTCCATTCGCTTTGTTGTAAAGTCTAGTCTTTGATCTTCATCAGCAATATTTTAAATCTTCTTTAGTTCCAGCAAGCAAGTTTGTATCATCTACATATTGCAGGTTGATAATGAGTCTTCTTCCAATCCTGATGCAACATTCTTCTTCATATAACCCATCTTGTCGGATTATTTGCTCAGTATATAGAATAAATATGGTGAAAGGATACAACCCTGGGCCATACCTTTCCTGATTTTAAACTATTCAGTATCCCCTTGTTCAAACACTTGCCTCTTGGTCTATGTATAGGTTTCTCATGAGCACAATGAAATGTTTTGGAATACCCATTCTTCACAATGTTATCTGTAATTTGTTATGA